CAGGTTTATCAAAAACACAAGGTTACGAGTGGTACAAAGCCATCAAAGACGGTCGAGAAATCATTGAAGACATGCCTCCTTCTGGACGACCTTCGACCTCTTCAACTGATGAAATTATTGAAAAAGGGAAAGATATGGTGCTTGAAAATCGTCAGGCAAGTGTTAGAGAGAAAGCAAGAGAGCTTGCCAGCTCTCGAGAAATCGTTCGATTGATTTTGGTTGATATTTTGAGTATGAAACGCGTTCTTGCTCGACTCGACATGATAAAGCTGAATTTGTTTCAAAAGAAGTACAATAAACAGGTCTCTTTGGCCATGTTTGGTCGTATGAATTACGATTTCACATTAATAGAGACCTTGTTGGTTTGAATTGTTTGAATTGTTTCTTTCGATATTCGTGGTTTGGTGCCATGAATTTGTTTCGGAAGGCCATACAGTTAATAAAGAGTTCTATTTGGTCGTATTGATGCGTTTGCGTGAGTTCACCTGTCGAAAACAACCGGACTTGTGGATGAGCAATTTATGGATTTCACACGATGATAAAACGCCATCACATCAAGTCACGATTGTGACGAACTTGAAGCCATTTTTTCTTATTCCCCAAACTGAAATTGCCGCTCCGTAGAACCCGTTTTCACTTAATCGAAGAGATAAAACAAAATTCGCTAAAGGAGCTGAGGACCATCCCAAAAAGTGCTTATGAAAAGTGTTTCGAGCACTGGAAAAATCGTTGACATACAAACCAATCAATCAAAATCCAGTCCATGTAAGGAACTTTGACGAGATATCTTCACGAAATTATGCGCGAATTATTATCTAAGGCAATGATATAATCTTCAAAGAAGTTATACAGATCGGTACACTGTAGCACATAACTGTCTTAAAAACTGGCCGATCAATATCGAGATAAAAGTCTTTGTATACACTTTTATGCTACCATAAATGTACCTATGAAGCGTATTAGAGCTTAGGTGTAGCCGAAGTTAACATTTTTTCTTGTTATTTTTTTTAACACTTTTATTTTTCTTCTGATTGAAAAACCCCCTTTAATGAAAATTAGAAGTTAATTATTATCTAAATCTTTATGGAAAAATTAAAAAAAAAGCATTATTTTATATTTAACAAGTAACATTAATCATATTTTTCTTTATTCCTAAACAAAAAATAGATATAATAAAATAAAATAAAAATAATATATTTTTAATATCCAAGAATTAGCAAGTAAATTAAAATGAATTTTTTAAGATTTAATTTTTAAAGTGAAAAATGCAAACTTTTCTGGCTTTCCGCAATTTTGTATATTATCCTTTCTTAAAGATTAGTATTAATTAGAGATATTAGAATTGATAAAAAATTATTTCTATTTTATTAATAATTTCATATTTTTTCAATTATTAATTTTTTTTTAAAATTGCATTATTATTTTTTGCAATAAAATTGCATAAAATTATTTCAGATATTCTTTTAATAATTTTATTATTAATGGCTTATAAGTTTCTATTATTATTTAATTCAGATTATTTTTTATAAGATTTCAAGACTCGTTTATTTCATATGTGTTTAATAAATAGATTTAAAATATTTCGATTAGATTTTTATTTCACATCTGCTCACTTTATATATGTCAATTATTCATTGTATCAATTTATTGCGTATACTTTGCGCATACATGCTTACATATTTTCAATTTTATTGCAGCAAACACTCAATACAAAAAATGTTCACTGAAATCTCCAACCAAAGCTGCTGGTTAGCTTCAAGCACCATACATTTTTATTTCATTAAATTTTTTTTTATGAATGTGATATGCACTTTTACAAAACAGTTAATTCTTAAAACACTTATTTATTATATTTTAATAATTTTATTATTTTAAATTATTTTATATGAATATATTTTAATTCAGCAGTTCAACATTAAAATTTCACAATTCTTTTTTAACGAAAGGCTCTACCGAATAATTCGCGCCGAACTGAAAATCTAATCTCGCTGTTGCTCGCTTTTATAAGCGCATTGCTACACCGCTGTGCCCCGCATTCGCATACATAGCAAGAGTATCCTTTCGGGATGTGCGTGTTGTGCGTTTTGTGCGGCATTGCGCGCGTTGTGGTGAGTTTTTATTCACCTCTATCCAGTTAACTGCACACCTTTCCATTTAGTTCCTTTATCGTAGACTTTTGCATCACTTTACTTTTTTCTTGAAGCTGGCGTTTTGTTTTGCTCCACTCATTCGTTGTTGTTCTTTCGATTTTCTTTTGTTTACTTTCACTTCATGGATAGCTTTATGTAATCGTATTTGTCGGTGTGGTAGATTTACCGCTTTTTCTTATCAGAGTCAGATGTGCAGCTTTAGTCAGCAACAGCATCCCTTTAATCACGAATACATTCGTAGCTGTGGGTGAGCTTACGCATGTTTCATAGACAGCTTTGAACCACGTGCTCATTAAGTGACAGATAAGTTTTCATTTCCATGTATGTATTTTTATATACATACGAGTACTATATATACTTATATATTACTTTGTTGTTTACACATTGGAGAAAAAGGAATTAAGGACCGTTATTAACATTTTTGAAGCATAACGCTCCAGTAATTTCTTGAAATTGTTTATAATTATATTATAAAAATTAAAGAAGCCATTTTTCCTTTAAAAAATTGTGAAATTAGAGCGTTTTTAAATTATATATACAACAGAGGATATATTAAAAACAATCTCCGTAATTGAAGCGAAGAAACTTTGGATCAAATATATGTCCGGCTGGGCGCTCTGTGGGGTATTTACGGAGCCGAATAAGTCTCGTTACTAAAAAGTTTTATGTTCAACTGATCAGGAAGGTTGAATGGATCTAAGGGTGCGAATTTTTTTTGGAAAAAATTTCGATGGCATCATTAAGATTTTTAGAAATTCCATATGCCTAAACAGTTCCGAAAGAAAACTGAGTCTGAGTTCCTACTTTTATTGGTACATCACATACAATACATTTTTTTGAGGACAGAAATTCATACCACAAAACTGTTTAGAATAATGGCCAGCAATGCCAGACAGTGATATTGTCGATGTTGTACCAAATATTATATGTGGTGCTCACAGGTAACAAAGACTCATAAATCTTCAAACTAATGTCCATTGCTAACCATGCTTGTAAAAGTGCAGTCGATTCTACCGACAAATTAAGGGAGATAGGCTATCACAAACAAGCCATTGTGACCATTTCAAACTCATTGATAAAATTTCAGTAAAAATTAAAATGACAGACATTATTCTCGCAAAGTAATTTTTCAGTAAAGGCTTTCAACAGTATTTTCGAAGATGAAGTGAGGCCGGAGGAGATAATATATATTCAGGAGATAACCTCAATACAAACAAACTGATTCGAAAAACACCAAGAAAATGCTCTCAATAGAAAACCAAGGTAGTTGCATGAGTTGCTAGGCAAAATAAAATATTTGTGCCTTAACTTTTTGGTTGCTAGAATAGATATTAGTTGTTAGAAACAATTTTCTTATACCATTTAGGAACTCTGGAAAATAATATTGAATGATGCATAAGATATTTTTTGTTTTTTTGGTTTGTTTTCTTTTGTTTTGTTTTTTGTTAATAATTTGGAGGAAATAAGTAAATCCAAAACTTCCTGAACATATCTTCTCAAATAAAAAAGTTTTCCATATAAGAACTTTATTTAGATCGACCAGTTCGTATGATATAGCTGTCATTTTTTTTTTTCCAGAGCTTTAGGTGTCCGATATTCGCGAATTCGATAAATGAGGATAAAAGGACGTTTGAAAAATTTCAGATCGATATCTCATAAACAGAAGGAGTTAAACGCGTGTATATAGACGGACATCGACTCAGCTCTTCACGCTAAGCATTTCTATCTATATGTCGTTATCTAAAACGCAAAACAATGTATCATCAAAAAAAAAAAAAATAATAAAATGGAAATCGTTGTCAGATATAATAAGCAATATATAACCATTTTATAACGAAAACACAAATTTTGTTTCAATATTAGTGGTTTCTATGAGAAATATCGTTTTTCCTTTGTCTTTAAACTTATGAAAAGTGGTATTACATTATTTTGCATTTGATTAATATTATATATTCCGTCTAGTGCATAATAATATTATAATTGAATTTGTTAATCAACACACCGCTATGTGGTTTGAGTATTTGCTAGGTGAGTCGGCAAACACTCATACGCCATGGCGTCCGTTGATTTCTTCGCACTAGAAAGTGGCCATATACTTATTTTAGATATGTGTTTTAGAAAAATATTTGCTTGTTTTTTAAATTTTACCGCTATATAATTATATTCATAATTGTCTTTTGTTACCAATAAATTATGAGAACGCAATAAAAGTTTAAATTTGTAAAGCTGTCACATCAATTTACGCAAAAAAGTTCTAGAAAATCGATTATTAAATACATATACGCACACATAAGCTCTACACATGATTTAAATTGTTTGTTATGTATATAAATATGTATGTGTTTACACGCATGCATTTCAAGTTCACCCTAAATTTGCTTTAAGTACCTTGCAAGGTAAATTTTACAGCGCGTGCTGACCGCGTCTGTGAGGTTAACACAACAAAAACAATGCAAATGATTCGAACAGTATTGGCAAGGCAACACTTCCGACAACAAACAACACAAAAAATACTGTTATAGTTGAAGAAATAACGAGCATTAAAACAATCGTATACGACACGCCAAGACGAAAGTCATCAAGCAAATTGAGATTTCAGCCATTCGAGTGCCCACATTCGGCCCTGTTGATTCCCCAAACAGTGATGTATGTGCGTTTGTATGTATGACTGCATCATAACGTCAATGCATTGTTGATCCATAGCATTAATCTTGGCAATTTATTGCCACTTCACATTTACTCTTTTTTGTTGTGTTCACTTTCCCCCCACTATCTTATAGTTCTTTATGGAGTTGGCAACAAGAGTGAGCCAACAATAGTCTGAAAATCACTATAAAAACGCTCACTTACCCTCAATATCCTATAGGGACTATCTCGCAGCTGACAAACTTGTTCACTTGGCTCCGGCTTCAGTATGGACTCGAGCGGTGTGTCGTCGTCCTCAATCTCCGCCCGCTTACTGCCCGCCGAGGTTGCGCGTTCGATTATCATGGAAAATATCCAGAACTGCACGGCGACATGTGTGTTGCAGCAGAATTAAAAAGAAGTTAAAATTGATGAGCGTAAGAGTGGCAATAAAAAAATAAAAATGAAGGAGAATAAAGCAAAGAAAAAGCGTAATATGAAATTGCCAAATGGGCGTTTAAGTTCAATCGTATTTATTTTCAATTGTAGTCTCAATTGAATTGACTAAATTGCTTGTGGGTTCATTAACCTCTGCACTTACTCTGCCGTGTTGACGCTTATTTTTGTAAGAACTGGATAGTAGTTGGGGTTGCGACTCGACAAGTTCGGGTGTTATGCCATTGCTATTGTAGAGACCATTCAAAAATTTCGGCATGTCGACTTCTTGTAAGCGAAAGGGCGACAAAGTGATGGGACTGCTGAAAATTGTATGTAAAATAAATTGAAAATATTAGTAATGATTAATGCGGGCAGTTAGATAAGTCGATAAAAAGTTTTGACTTCATATATACTATAACACTTATTTACTATATATTAATTTTTGTATAGTACATAATGCATTGCCCAAAAGAACTCTCTCTTGAACAACTAAAAAGCATTTAGAAAATTTTTGTAAGAATCGCATAGGTTCACACGGAATATTCACTTAATTAAATTTCAAAAATATTGTATGATTGAGGTAATGGAACTGAGTGGCTACACTTTAGACTGTAACTCAAAAATATCGATTTAGATTTTTGTATATATCGTTTTTTAGATAAATATTCTCCCTTTTTAATGACGTAGGCATCGCTCACGCGATTATAGCCGAGTTAACATCAGCGTGCCAGTCGTTTCTTCTTTTCGCAATTTGGCGCCAATTCGAGATACCAAGTGCAGCAGGGTACTTCTCCACCTGGTCTCTCCAACGGAATGTAGGTATTCCTTTGCTTTCACCGGCGGATATTGGGACGAAAACTTTCAGAGCTGAAGTGTTTTCGTCCATTTGAACGACATGACCTTTCTCTTCAAAACTTGTAACGCCTACTCATCACATGTTGTCATGGTCCATGCCTCTGCACCATATAGCAGGACGGTGATGATGAGTGACTTGTAGAGTTTGGTCTTTGTTCGTCGAGAGAAGACTTTACTTCTCAATTCCCTACTCAGTCTGAAGTATCACCTGTTAGCAAGAGTTGTTCTGCGTTGAATTCCAAGGCTGACATTGTTGTTGTTGTGGCTGTTAATACTGATTCCAAGAACGACGACTTCGAAGTTATGACTGTCAAAAGTGACGTGGGAGAGTCGCTTTGTCTGAAGTTTGGTATTGAACGGAGAGATCCTTCCGTATCCTGACTTAGCTTATGGAATTGGTCAACGTCAGTTTACGCAGCCGTTTTAGTTTTGCGGGATACCAAATTGAGTTAAAAGCAGCTTTGAAATCGACGAAGAGGTGGTGGGTCTCGATTTTCCAAGATTAGGCGCAAGGTTGGTGATTTTTCAGGCTTAAAGCCACACTGATGAGGTCCAATTAGTTTGCTGACGGTAGGCTTTAATCTTTCACACAATACGCTCGATAGAACCTTATATGCGATATTAAGGAGGCTTATCCCACGGTAATTGGCGCAGATTGTGGGGTCACCTTTTTTGTGGATTGGGCAGAGTACACTTATATATCAATCGTAAGCCCTGCTTTCGTCTGAACATATTCGACAAAGAAGCTGATGAATGCTCCTTATCAGTTCTTCGCCGCCGTGTTTGAATAGCTCGGCTGGCAATCCATCGGCCTCCTCCGCTTTGTTGTTCTTCCGACGGGTAAAAATATTTTTTTTTTTTTTATTTAACAGGAACTTCGGCACCTTAACTGGTCTCAGTTTTAGAATTGCGTTCCTTAAGGATAACAGCAGGCTACATACTTTGATAGTTACTAAACGGAAACTCCGGGAGCTAGAACGGTTCAGGTAACGACTTCTTATTACCTGTTCTTGTTTAAGGCGAATGATTTTGCTGGTGAGAAATTTCGTGTCAATAAGGGCATGGTTTTTATTAGAGAAGGACTATGAAAAAATACACATGAAAATACGCTAAAATTATGGAGCAAAATGGTGCATAATAACGGTGAGCTAAATCGGATCATTCTAACTATAATAATAACCCTTTCTAAAATTATTTTTTTAATAGTACACTGGCTGCTTTCTCCATCTTTAGAATGCATCCTCGGTAAAAAATTATATTATTACCTTAGACAGTCGAAGATTTTGGGAGCGTGGCGTAAGCGACGACTGGTTATGGATATCTCAATCTTTTAACACTCTTTGAATTTTACGAAACGCTTGAGGTAGTTAAACGGTTAAAGAACTCGAAAATACTCTTTGTTAGATAAAAACTCAAAACAGGAGGCATAGCAAGTATTCTGGATGAAGTTTTATTTGTTAAATAGTTTGCCAACAACAAAATAATTCTAAGAAAATTAATTAAAATAATCACTAAATTATTTGAAAAAATTACTACCACATATTAACTGTTCTTTATTTTTTTATGACTCAATACCGTAACGCACACCCATATTTGCTTTCTCTTTAAGTGATTAAACCCTAATTGTTTTTATTATCATTCTCGAAGTAATCACAGCTGAGTGCGTTGACTGCTGATAAACTAATCTGAAAAAATTATTGCTTGAAAATATGCACATGCGCTGTATATGCAATGTAATTTTATGAGTCAGTCTGTAAATATCTAAAAGATTCAGTTGAGCTTATCAGGTACCTGTCATCCCCTAATTAAATGTTTTCTCACTGATAAGGGGTAACAACCGCAACCAATTTATAACCGTATAAACTCGTCTAATTACAATGATAAAAATGGCGCAGTTCCTGGAAATCATTAATTATTCGGTAATCAGTGATATAATCGAATTAAGGGTGAGAGCAAATATTGAAATTGCGTTGGAAAAGTATGGATAAGTTCTGCTAACACTTTCTGTATGAAAAAATGTTCATTGTAACCTTTTTCTATTGCCCATTTCCCTATTCACTAGTTTTGAGCTGTGACATAAATTTGTGCGTAGATTGGCTTTTATATTTCGAGATTTGGCAATCCTATTGTCGCAATTTGGCAACTCATAATTATATCGTAAAGTTTGCCATTGTTATTTTATACATACTCAGAGAGTTTGTGTTGTTAACAGTAACTTAAAATATTCATGTCGGCAAAAACATTTAAGGGCGATTATTTTTTATATTTTTCAACGTGGATGAACCCAGCAATAATTTGTAGTTGAACTTAATTCAATTTTTATGTTAGTCGATGGTGTGGTGGTTAGTTCAATCGAGATCGTAGATCATTTCAAGACGAATTTCATGAATGTCGTCCAAAGTCAGTTGCTGCTTTTTCCAAAAAAGATATCCTTAGAGAGATCCACTATAAAAAATTATAAAATTACGTTAAAAAACAAGATGTCGGAAGTGTGGCGTAACCGACGGCTGTTTATGGAGATCCAGAAACTATTGACGCTGAGCGCAAACTGATAGTGCAAGATTGTCGTGTGACCTATGACTCGTGTTGATTGGGCGAGCAAAATTTTCAAATATTCAATAGCGGTACTGCGAAACTTTGCTATGTTGGCGTGAAAGGGAATGAATTGGGAATTTACACGTATGAGCCCAAAAGTAAACAGCAGTCAACTGTCTTTCAAAATGAGCACAATCCAACAAAAGTTGTTGACGAAGGCAGCACTTCCAAGAAAATGGTTGCCTGAAAGAACTGAACGTGTGGCAACCATACTGGTAGACAAATGCAAAACAGTAAGTTTTGAGCGGTTCACAATCATTTGATTGCCGGTAGCCTTTCAAGAAATCAGGAAAACCAACCGCCGAAGATGGATGACTCTTCACCACGGCAATGCGCGCTTTCACACATCGATTGGAACAACTGCCTTTTTGAGCACTCAAAACATCGCTTTGATGGGTCATCCTTCGTTTAGTCCTGACTTGGCAACGAAAAATCTTTTTTATTTCCGTTCGAAAAAAAAAAAAAAATTAACTAAGAGGTCAACATTTTTCGACACATGAAGAAGTGCTTGAATGCATGTTTTGGAGATACCGTAATCAGAGTGGCAAAAGTGCTTCAACTACAGGTTCAAACGCATGCACGGAAACCCTCATATATGACAACAAAAACGAATTAATCTTATTGAGAACAATTCAGGACCCTACATTCTGAACTCCTCATTAAAGGAGTAACATTCTCTGTTATATTCTACGTCTACGCCACTATGCCAGCTTATTCGACTTGTTTCATTTGGTTGTTCGTTACCTTTGTCGCTTCACTTTTTGGTATAAACCGTTAAATTAAATTTGATAGAATTTTTTGTTAAATACGGAACATCCTTTCTGCGGTAAAAATTTGACATATTTGATATTTTGATTGATAAAAAATCTATCGAGTCGAACTTTAATTAACCAATAGCAGATGTTGAATCGAACGAAATCTGGTGCCCATGAGGTGATAAAACCTCATCTGTTATCGATCTCTTCTGTACATACCCTCTCTTGTTGAAGTAATACCAATCTTTTGGGGAAAATAAGTACGTACTAAGTATAGTATATGACCACAATTCATACTTATTTAATGCAACATATGTCTGCTAATTTTCGACCACATTCGACCACTACTTTGAAGAACATTTTAAAAAGCTGTCTAGGGTTTCGCGGAAAATTCTCTTCGTTTCATGTCATCATGACTTGGTAAGCATTAAGGATTACACAATAACAATAATGGCGCGGCTTTAAATGCAATTAGCAAAACATTTTTTATAACCTCAATGTGCTCAAAACAATTGGTTTAACTACGCAAAAGCAGGTTGATTCCTATGGGAAATTGTCATCATCAGGCACCACGCGATTTTATAACCAACGCGTGGTGAATAAGTATGGAAACCATGAAATTTTATAACATTCAAACGAGTTGAATGACCATGTTTTATTAATTTGTACACTTATTGGTTACACCATTGAAGATAATATTTTTTTCAAAATACAGGAAAATTTTTACACTTACTTAAATATGTACATTATGGTGTTCCAAGGTATAAGGTAAGAGTTCTTTTCTCGAAAATTCTACATCTACTAACATCTACTTTTTTCGAAATGATCCGAATTGTTTCGATTTTATTATAATAGATAAATGTTGAAACACCTTGATTTACTTCTTTAGCTATCAAAGAGGACCATCTGGTATGGTAGTTTAATTAATCATCTTAGCTTGTGTTGTATTTAGATGTTTCGTCGACTGAAAACGGGTTCCATTCCGATGACTTCTTTGCATATCAAACTCATAAACCCATGTCTCATCGGCAGTTATAATGCTCTCCTTGAATGTGGAATGGGTTTTGAAAAA